AGAGAGAGAGAGAGAGAGAGAGAGAGAGAGGCAGAGAGAGAGAGAGAGAGAGAGAGGGAGGGAGAGAGACAAAGATAGAGACAGAGACAGAGACAGGAAGACAGAGTAGCAGAAAAAAACAACTAAAAAAATATTTTACAAACAACAACTATTCATTCAGCTGCCAATGTACATCTGTAACACATTCTCTCCCCGACAAATTCTGTCCCTCAGAATCCGCAACGATCCACACTCAGTACGAGGGCCCACAAGGCAGCTCGTCGGGCGGGAACCATCTGTTCCAGGAGTTCATCTTACCGCCAGACTCTGTGATGGAGCTCACGTCAAACCTGCCCGTGCTGGTGGTGGTGTACTCACAGGGGGCGCTGTTCAATGACAATGACACGATGGGTAATGTGAGCCTGGTCCTTTGTTTGATGGTTCACCTTCATCATGGAGAAGAAATGGGGGAGTGGGGCAGAGGTGACGGAGATGAGAAACGGCTGTAAACCTTGCTTGGACTTCAGAGGGATACACATTTCATTTTTAAAAATAAGTAAAATTACTAATTTAATTAATTAATTAATTGTTAAAATAAATAAATAGGTATATACAGAAATAGATAAATAAAGAAATTAGTAAATAGATAAATAAGTTAATGTGTAAATAAATAAATAAATAAATAGATAAATAAATAAATAAATAAATTACACTTAATTGAAGTTTCAGTTTTGCATTTAAAAACATTTGGCTGTTGTTGTTTTTTAATTTGATATTTTTGTAGTAATTTAATTGAATTGTTCCATATTAACAAACGTAAAGTCCTAACAGTTGGCAATTGTTTCTTCCAAGTTTTGTTGAAATTACCTTAAAGATAACTGAGGTTTTGGTCTTTAAATGGTTCCTTTTTTATACACCCGGTACATGATTTGAATACACAAGCATATTATGTATACAACAAATCATTAATATACAATATTATACCCTTGCAGACAGTTGTAGAAACATGCCATTGCTGATCACCTTTGTGCACCTCCCTGTTCTGGGGTGTTTTTTTAACTAATATTATAAAATACAGCCAAGAAAAATTTCCTTCTGGGATAATACAGTATTATCTAATCTTATCTTATCTCATCTTATCTTATCTTTTCCTTAAGGACACATCCCAGTGACTGCCCATCTAAACCCACTTATCAACTCTGTAAAACTATACAGAGATGTACAATGACATATGAACTCAACTGCACCTGCGATAGATCTTAGCCAATTGAAGAGGAGTCGTGAACATTCTAGGGGTTGTTTTTTTTACCCTCTATTGACGTATGTATTGACGTATATAT